ATTTTTCTTTTCTTCTTTTTAGGTCTACCTATCGCTTGATCTATACTTGTTCCTTTTCTTTTGAACAGGAGTACAGGCTCATCCCTTGTTTACTATTTAGGATGGCGTTTCTGGTTTACTTCAAAAGTTGATAAGGGTTTAATAAGGCTCTCTGTCAGGAATTTTTAGTGAAATGACTGGATGTTGGCTATGAATCTTCATACTGAGGGAATCGGGTTGGCAGGTTTCTGCTTGCTGCATCCCGACTGGTAGTTAGGAACTCTTGGGTAGCATCTAAAGATCAAAAGTCGCATAATATCAGGGTTCTTGCAATGGCATGTTGCGCATGAAAAGGTGTCCTTGTAAGCACTTCCGGTGGGCAATCCCGGGGTTACACTATGCTGCAATTTGCACAAATTCCCAGCCAGCATATATCACTTTAAACAACCAGTAACTACTTTTATTCACTTTTAAAATTATACCATGACCTAAAACAATAAACAAATTAAAACTAAACCAAAAAACACCAAAACCTCTCAATCATTCTTTCTCTAACATTCGTGGTATCTGTACCAATTTCTGTAGAGTGGAATCGTTTCTCTTGGAACATTCTGCAGATATCGCAGATCTTTGTGAAACTAATCTGAATTCACCAATCCCTTCCACTAAATTCTTTGTTTCTGGATTTCTTCCTCTCTTTTGGAAGTACTCTAGAATTTAAGTGCAGTACTAGTTTAGCAACAGAGTTTCATCATTTTACAGTAGAACAGTAGAAAAGGCTAGATACAACCGTAAGTTCTATGCTAACAGTTTCTTCTATCTTGCGTCTAGCTTGTAGAACTCTCTTCTGGCTCCATGCTTTCCAGCCAAGTTTGCTCTTCAAAAATTTACATGTCAATCATTATCTATCGTCTTTCTGATTTCTCTTCCATTGTTCTCTCTTCTTAATAACGTTTCTGTTTTCGAATTCTTTCACACCCAGTAGCCATTTTTAGTAGATTTCCTGACCTGTATCGGATAAGTTCGATTAACAATATATATATATATATATATATATATATATATATATATATATATATATATATATATATTTTAAATAGGTCAAGGTCTGGTCACTTCTCCTTCCCCAGTACAAAGTATGATTGAGAGAGATATGAAATTAATCCCTCCCTATACTCTACCATGTCTCTTTAACTATCCCTTTTACACTGTCTGTTAAATTACAAAACTTACACTACCCATCAATTTTAATTTCATTTTTGTTCCATTTCATTTTTTGGAAGTGCTATCTGATGATCCGGCGTCCTTTAAAAGGGCTCTGGTGAAATAAATTATTATAATGGTACCTTAAAGTGGTCTGTTTTTCTTTAAAATATATATATTTATATATATATATATATATATATATATATATATATATATATATATTTCCCATTCAGTAAGTTTTATTAACAGCTGTTGGTTCATACTGATGTTATTGTAAAAACATTGAGTTGCGTAATAAAAACTAACACAGCTTTAATTATCATACTTTTATATTTAAAGTACTTTTTGAAAGAGATATCTCTCGAAAAATCTCAAAGAATTTACAATAAATCGAGTCATGAGAGGAAATGCCAGTGTGTAAGGAAATCACATTTACTGTTTCTTTCTCTGACACTTATGATATTCGTGCCAATTTCTGAAGTGTGGAATCGTTTCTCTTGGAACATTCTACATATATCCTAGCTCTTGTGTGAAACTAATCTGAATTAATCAATCTCTTCCATTGAATTCTCTGTTCCTGTCTTTCTTCCTTTTAAGCGTGTTACTCGATTGGCAATTAGGTCTCACCGTTTTACTGTTGAACTAGATAAATGCAATCGCCACTTTTATTTTACGATTAAAAAAAGGAAAACAAAAAAAGCTTGTTGTATGACTGGTTATCCACATGCAAGCTGCTGGTGTCTAAGTACGCGAACATCTCCCATTGACAAGGGAATTCTCCCTTGAGTCTCCAGCATTCGCTGCTAAACCCAGTCAGTTATCTCTCTTTATCGTTCCCCTTCTTCCCATGATAGTTGAGTGCTAGAATGTCTGATAGTACATGGTCCGTTCTCTACACCCGTCTGTATGGATCTTGGTGCCGTTGTCCTAAAAATGTACTCCTGGGCTGGTTTCTGTTCTCTCCAAACTTTGCAACAAGTGCCTCACTGCTTCCTGCTTCCCAGCTTCTTGAAAATTCTTTATAGTTCCTGTTTTTCAGAATTCTGGGAAACCCTCTGACCAATCAAACTATTGCTCTATTAGTCTCTTACCTCGTTTTAGCAAAGTATTCTTGGCGCTAATCAATGCCAAATTGGTTAAGCATCTTACTTCGCAAGACTTCCTTTCGGAGAAACAATACAGCTTCTGTTTCATGGTAACTGTTCTGATGACCTTTTATTTCCACTGGTGATTCATCTATGAATTTAAGCGCGTTACTCGATTGGCAATTAGGTCTCATCGTTTTATTGTTGAACTAAATAAAGGCAACCTCTACTTTTATTTTAACAATTTCTTTTCTCATATCTTTGGAACTTCTTTCCGGTTTCTTTCTTTCTTGATAACTAAAATTAAATACAATGTCAATCACCATCTTCTGTCCTCTGTTCCTTTTTTGTATTTTCCTCAATCCTCTCCAGTAAAGTTTTCTCATTCTCCTTCACTCACTGTAACCCCCTTGCGTCTTAGTGGCATTATCGCCTTGCTCGGGGTGAAACGATTAAAAAAAAAAAGAAAGTTGTTCTTTGACCGGTAGGTGTAAAAAAAAATCGCTGTTTATGACGATATGCTGTGAAAGTAAGGGTTTTCATTAGATTTGAAGAGTTTAGTATTGTAGTGATTGGGAAAGCATCCTCTTGGGAGTCGGTTCCACTTCATGAGAGAAGCTGTTCGAGTGAAACTTCCTTTTTACGAATGGAATACAAATGGAATTAAGAAGGTCTGCCTTCGTATATATGGTCTGAGTTGCTTAGGCTGTTTTTGGAAAAAATCTTTTTGATGCTCGCTGTTTTTCGTGAAAGTTGTCTGGCTGTGTTGTCCAGGCGGGATTTGGGGAGAAAATAGGAAACGACACCATCGACGTCCACCCCAATCGCCGCGATTATCATCTTGTAGACGACGACTGGGACAGGAATAAGTAGTTGATAATCATCATCACTTTTGTTCTCATCTCGTGATGGCTCCACTGAACCGGCTGCCCATTTCGCATGGGTGCTGACATTTTGGTTTCAGTCAGATATTCTGCAGTACAGACTAAGTTACACAAGACCACCGAGAAACGATATTTTATTAAAAATGATGTACAAGACCCGAAAGCCACTCGAGGTAGAGATATACAGTGCAAAAGGCACAGTTTTCCTTTGCTTCAAGCATCTTCATCATTCGTATGTAGATTGTACAGCATTCACTACCATATCGGTTGACTGATATTACACAGCAATTCAGTACATTTTTCCTTGTTTCTCAGAAAAGTTTCCGATTTCTTGATACTTTGCTTATCTTTTGGAAGGCATCTTCCGCTATCCCAATCCACCTTCGGATTTCGGTGTCGTACTTTCCGTCTTTTGTTATATTTCCTTTTACTCTGGCATTTTCCAAACATTTGGGCAACGTCGTACTTTCAGAGAAAAGGGAAACATAAAAAGACGGTTACATTTAATATAACAGGCAGATGAATTTTCTAGGGCATGAGGAAAGAGGGCTTGGATAATTAGACACTCACAAGACATACTGAAAGCAAAAGGGACAGAGAAAACCAGCGCATAGTCTACCTAACGAGCTTGCGTAAATTGTTGGCAGAACACGGTTTAAGGGAGATAGAAAAAAGACAAAATGTTCTAAAAGCTTCAAAATACAGGAAATTGTGGAGAGCCATGATCGTCCACGTCCTAAAGGGAAAGAATTTACGAGGGAAAATACGCAATCATCTCAGCCAGTGTATCGTAAACCTGTATCGTTAATTTGAATGTTTTATATGAGAAAGCAAATGGCTCGCATGTGGATAGACTTAAACAGTATTTTAATTTTTTTCTATCTCAACGCTTTGGGCCTTACACATAAAAAAAAAAAAAAAAAGCTGATAATACTCAGATTCGTATATGGAAGAATGAAAATATTTCATCTTAAAACCTTTGACAAAGGAATTTGTTTCGAGAACGAAAATGGAGTCTAAATTAATAGGTACACCTGAATGAAATCTCACGAGATTCACCCCATCTCTCTCCTAGAAAAGAGAGGAGAAAATCGGAGAGTTTGTGTGTGGTGAAGAAATTAACTAAAGTAGACGGTAAATATGTTAGCGCGCAAATCGCTCAAGGCACTTAAATAAATAAGTTAATGAAGAGGAATTTATTCTGCCGATAGTTGAGTGCGTAGGAAGCCGAATCTGTTTTCCACTTTTTATTCTTCAAAATTCTTCAAGTTTCTCGTGGTCTGCTTGGTTTTCTGTGTTTGTGCTTCGCAATTTAATATCCAAATAAGAAGCGTTGAGATATTTGAATCGGCTTTTGAAATAAAAAAAAAATTCCGAAGATTTATTTCTATAGAAGAAAAAAAAATAGAATTAACAAATAAAGTAAATAAATAATAGAAAATAAATAGAAAAAAAAAAAAAAAACAAAAAAATACCCCAATCCCACTGCTGTGATCGAGCGTCTCTCTGCCTTTTCTATAAATAGTTTCATGCTCTATGAACTCTCCTCTATGGTACAAATTGTATATATGGGAACTACTTAGGACTTCATAGAGACCTTGTGGTATTATGGTGACTGTAGTAAGAATAATAAATAAGAATATGTTGTTTTGGTGTAAGAATACTGTGGTATGTTTGGGTCAGTAATTGTGGCTAGATAAGTTTCAGATAAGACTGACTGAAAACCAGCTATACCCCATCCCTCCTATTGTCCTTGTGCCACATTTTTGTATTCTAAAAAGAAATATCACTTTCCTCTATGGTTTCGTTTGTTTATTTAGTTTTGTTTTACGGCTTATCAACCTCAATGGGTTATTTAATGCCGACAAGATTTTTATTACTGGTAATATTTTCTATCTATCTATCTATCTATCTATCTATCTATCTATCTATCTATCTATCTATGTATTTTGGTCTCTTCATGGCTGTCTCTCTTGGTCTCTTCATATCTATCTATCTATCTATCTATCTATCTATCTATCTATCTATCTATCTCAGTATATATTGGTTTGGTTTGTTTTGTTTTGCGGCATATCAACCTAAATGGGTTATTTAATGCCGACAAGATTTTTATTACTGGTAATTTTTTTTTTTTTTCAAAAATATATTGTTGGTAATATTTTTTTTAAAAACGTATTGCTGGTACTATTATATTTCAAAAATGTATTGCTGGTAAAAAAATTTTCCAAAACGTATTTGCTGGTATTAAAACCTATTTTTATACTTTCATATTGTTTTCAATCCTTTTGTGGGGTGGAGGGTTTAACTATGCGCCTATAGTTGGAACCCAGACAGGTGCTACCACCCTGGGTCAGGGTGGAGCTGGGAACATCAGCAATTAAAAGGTGGTCCCACGCTTCTCAAAACCTGATCAAAGGTCTTGCTGTTGGATGTAGTTTATCGTCTTACCCAGGAAGCGGATGTAGTTTATATCTTACCCAGGGTCCAGATGTAGTTTATCGTCTTACCCAGACCGGTTTCCTCTGTGGTACCTAGACTTTATTAGCGGCAAGATCTCATCATTTTAGAAATTCAATGTTTAGATGTAACCGTAAAGTCTATAATAACAGTTCTTTTTTTCTCGCACATCTCATTTGTGGAATTCTCTTCCGGATCCTTTCTTCCCAGTCACCTTTGATCTTCAAAAATTTAAATGCAATGGCAATCGTTACCTTCTATCTTCTTAATTTCTGTTCTTTTATTGTACTCGATCCTTATTAGTGTTATTTCTTATATTCTTTCACATTCGGTAACCCCTGCGTCATAGTGGCTTTGTTGCCTTGATTAGGGTTAAAAGAATGAAAAAATAAAAAATAAAATAAATGCATGGCAGTTATATTTAAAAATGCAGTAATTTGTATAAGAAACAATACAAAATTAGACATGAGTGGGTGTGAAGAATAATCCACATGTAATAATGCAAATACATTATGTAGAAACTGTAAGGGAAAAAAGAATATTTGAAATCGATTTGCCTCCGAATCACACTTAATCATCATCGACAAAAAGTTGGAAAAACTTTTCAGATTCACATTTGTTCCAGCAAACAAGGTAAATTCAATATCTGTAAACCCTGAATGCGAAATGAAAATGTTTTTGGGATATTAAAGTAACAGTTGTGCCCATAATTATCGAAGCACTAGGGTTAGACAAAAAGATCTTGCGACGAAATTGTAAGAATTGAAACCCCGCAGAGAATTGCTTTCTCCGTCTTCGTGATATTAGGAAATGTAGTCTTTGAGTGCTGGCGTGATTTGCTTGCCAATCTATCTCGAATCGATCGGAAACCAATTTCCCATTGGGAACGAGAATCACTTTTGCTTTCGATCAGTTATTCCGTAATGTCGATCATTGAATTCTGATTGGATTTTATTGTTGTTGTTGCTGCTTGCCTACGAATAAGCTTAAATTGATCTCCCTTGTTCCAAAGACGCTTGTCTCTATTCAGTAATCCGGAAACAAATTTGATGAAGTAATTTGGTCTTATGGTTGAGTAATGGTAATCGAGATGAAAATGAAAATCGGATTCTTGGTTAAAAACGGAAGAAGAGCTGAATTGAAAGCGCAAGGCTCCCTGGTTTCCCGTTTGTCAGTTGATATTACTTTGTTGAATTGGAAATCTCTTTTCTAGAAAGACGGTAATCAGCGACTCAAATTAAGCTCGAATCCGACTGAATTTACACCAGGCAATAAAATTATTATCATCACACAGACACACACACATTGCATACAGACATCTTACACACACACATACACACACAGACATACACACAAAGAAACACAGAGAGTGAGAGAGAGAGAGAGAGAGAGAGAGGCAGGCTCGTCTTCACACCTATACATACATGAAAATCCCGATACACATCAACAAATGCATATTTACGAACATGGGCTGAAAAGTTAATACGCTTACTATAAATGAGAGACGCTGGAGTTGCGAAATCTTGCATGCATTAATTTTAACTAAACTTCATTGTTTCTTTCTAGGTAAACATTTTTTTCTTTTTTTTTTAAAGCATTTCACCCCAGCAAATCAGGGGGGCCACTAGTACGCAAAGGTTTACGGAGAGTGGGAGCAAGAGTAAAGAGGCGTGATAGAGGAAAGGATAAAGAGAAGGACGGGGAATAGATCAAGGCATCTGGAGATGTCGATTGACATTGCATTTGAATATTTGGAGATTATAGCTATCAGGGAAGCAAGTTTAGAGGAAGGGAGTTCCACAGATGGGAAGTGCGAGACATGAAGCTATTGGGGTAGAATAGACGGCTACATTTAACCGTTTCGACAGTGAAAGGGTGGGACCGAGATGCCAACCTAGTAGCACGTTCAAATTCATGCAGTTTGGGAACTAACAAAAGTAGCTTGTCGAACTAGTCAGAGAAGACATCAAAGTAACTAGTGGATACCTCTCTTGAAAATGGATAAAATGTGGTATCATAGTGTTATCAAATGCTTGCAAAGAAAGGGTTTATCCCCCAAGGATATTCACACTGATATGGTTGGTACATTAGGGGATGACACCCCAATTTTACCAAGAGTGTAAAAGTGAGTAGCTGAATTTAGGAGAGGAAGGTAGTTCTGATGATGACCCAAAGTACGGAAGACCTGCGACTGTACCACTGAGAAAAACGTTGATTGTGTTCACTACATGGTGATGAATGGGAGGCGTTTGACTATAAATCAAATATCCAATGCTATTGACATATGCCGTGAGAGAGTTGAGAATATTCTGCACAATGAAATTGGTATTACGAAAGTGTCTGCTCGTTGGGTGCCACGTCTTTTGACACTTAATCAAAAGCGCACCAGGTTGATTACATCACGTGAAAATGTGATATTCTTTGAGAAAGATCTCATCATTTTGAGCAAGAGACAATCCATACACTGTGAACACCCCCTCGTCGCCTGCTCCAAAAAAGCCAAGTTTGTTTTTCCTGCATGGAAGGAGATAATAATTAATGAAGCCTCAGTTTTTGAGATGTAAAATGCATTGTTTATTGACTATCATCAAAAGGGTGACACCAACAATAGAGAGCAATATGCCAACTTGCTGAGGCAGTTACGAAAAGCTATCAAGATCAAACGATCAGGGAAACGGACAAAAGAAGTCTTGTTTCATTAGAAAAAATGGTTTAAATGGCTACGTGATTGGCCTTGAAGTGGTTGATCACCGTTTTTATTTTGCTGATTTGACTATCATCTGTTCCCCAACATGGAAAAAAAAAGAAAAAAATACTTGGCTGGGAACCAGCATGGCAGTGCTAATGATGTCATATCTGCTGTTGTTGACATTTTTGACCGTCAGGATGAACCGTCCTCTTTGAACAGTCAGAGGTCAGTTTGGCTGGAAAGGAACAATGCAATTATTAATAAGAAAAGTTGAACATGCACGCAAGATTTCACAGCTCTAGAATCCCACCTTCATAGACAGCCTATGAACTTTTCATCCCACCCTCATTTATCGAAAGAGAAGGAAAACGAAACATAGAAAGAGAGCGAGAAAGTGAGAAAGAATAGGGAGAAATAAACAGGTAGAAAGAAAGAGAGACATAAAAAGAGTGAAATAGAGAGAAAGCGTCAGATACACACGCACGTACACACATTCATATATATATATATATGAAAGAAAAATACAGAAAAAACAAAATTCTGAATATGCATTATTAATGTTAAAATAAAGTCGACGTCGGACGTTTCGGTCTATTTAAGACCATCTTCATGGACATTTTCATTTAAACATAATTAACATTATAACTTATAACAATTTAACATAAAAGACGATGGACATAAGAGCCCAACTAATTCAGACAGATAACTGAAATTTTATACAGATCAGCGTTCTGTTTAAATATCATCACGTAGTCGTCACGTGGGCGATGTTGTTAAGACGTATTCGAAGATGATTTCCAAAAATTAAAAAATATCAAAAAGTCGAATGAAAAATTTTTATAAACAATTAAAGAAATCTCTTCCGTTGATGTTGGAATACGTAGTGATCAATTGGTTCTTATATCTTCAACAAGCTTGAAAGTCTTTCCCGTTACAATGCAAATCCAAAAGTGATTTTAAAAACGATGGAACAGTTATAAAAAACAGTTCGATAAAAATTCCATTCTTTACTTGATCAATAGATTCTCTCGTCCAAGCTTGAAATCTTCCACGTTATAAAGTAAATTCAGTTTTGTATTTTCAGTAGACAGTATGTAAGCAAATATATTTGCATATATATATATATATATATATATATATATATATATATATATATATATATATATATATATATATATTTTGTTGGATTGATGTGAGGTTGTGAGTCTTTTCACGCTTTTATCTGACAATCAAAAACCGTGTAACCCAGGGTCACAAACTCACATCAATCCAACCAAATATGTTAACTCTATCTCTGATATTGAGCGCTTTCTAATAATTACCGCGCATATAATATATAAATAATTATACATATATATATATATATATATATATATATATATATATATATATATATATATATATTTATACACGTTTCATTAAATAATATAGACAAGTGTTGTCTATTTATTTTTAAAATTTTTTCGTATCTTCTGATAAGTTTGATAACATTATCATTAACCGAAAAACGAAATTCACAATATTTATCCATTATTTTTTTTAGATATAATCTAAACTTTCGGCTTACTCAAGCCATTATCAAAGATGTAATTACAAACATATCAAACAATATACGGACACGACAGTGATGATAGTCTGTCATTGTTTTGTTTACATAGTGGATCACTAAGCAACGATGAACACGCGCATATAAGACGCTAGAAGAAAATCGCACCGCATCTCATGACGTCACACATGACTACACGAGAGTGAATTGGAGAATGAAATAAGGAAAGCCGTTGGTATAAGCCAATGGCTTCTGTTACCAATTATAGAAATTATAGACATTTAAGAATATTTGTAGAGATTCCATAGTTGATTTTGTTTAGGTTGGGTTTAACTGTTTGATGTAAAATGCTTCAAATATTTTTAGTTTTTGTCTATTGTTTTCATGTCGAAGTATAGTTGTGTTTTCGACAAGTATTTTACGGAATTGTGTGTGGGCAGGCATGTTGTTTTAAATGCCTAAAAATGTTAGAGTTTTCATTAAAATGTAGTGTCAAGCGTCGTGAAAGGAGTTTGTGGTGTGACCAACATAAATATATATATACACACACTTTTCACACACACACACACACACACACACACACACACACACATATATATATATATATATATATATATATATATATATATATATCCAAATGTAATGACACCGAAAATGCTATAAATTCTAACGTTCACAGCATTAATTCAAAAGAGGGCGCAATACCAAGAATAGAGCAATAATTATTCATTATAATTTTTACATACGGACAAAAACGACTATTTACCCGAAAGCCCATATTTACTCGAAAGTCCGTATCTACTTGTAAGCCCATATCTACACGAAAGTCTGTATCTGCTCGGAAGTCCGTATCCCCTCGAAAGCCCATATCCTCGAAATTTCGCTATCAGCTCGAAAGCCAATATCTACTCGAAAGTCCGTATCTCCTCGAAATTCTGTGTCAACTCGAAATCAATACCTACTCGAAAGTCCGTATTTGCTCGAAAACTCATATCTAGGTCAGTATCTGCTTGGAAGTTCGTATCCGCTCGAAAGCCCATATATCCTCGAAATTCCGGATCAGCTCGAAAGCCAATATCTACTCGAAAGTCCGTATCTCCTCGAAATTCCGTGTCAACTCGAAATCAATATCTACTCGAAAGTCCGTATCAGTTCGAAAGCCAATTTCTTCTCGAAAGTCCGTATCATCTCGGAAGCCAATTTCTTCTCGAAATTCAATATCAGCTCGAAAGCCAATATCTACTCGAAAGTCCGTATCTACTCGAAAGTCCGTATCAGCTCGAAAGCCAATATGTACCCGAATGTTCGTATTTGCACGGATGTCGTATCTGATAACTTTTATTTTCGTATACCAAAAGTAAACAAAATAATTTATTAATTAACGGATTTTATTTTTTAATTTATTAATTAACGGATTTTATTTTTAATCCTACATCATTTTTATTACTTTAAAAGTTATATTATAGAGGATACACATATTCGAATAGACACCCAGTTTCTTTAATAGTGTGAATTACAGCTATTGTAATACAAGAAAAACACCCACCATAAGGTTTCTTTCTCCATAAGTGATCGCATATTCAAGCGTGTATAAAAAAATTAAAAGCCACATAAAAAATCTAGTTCGACAGTTGAAATGACGTCATTTCGGTTCCACCAATTAACGCCAGAATTAGCGAAAAAACAGTTCTATAAAGACACACAAAACACAATCCTTGAAAACTAATGTAGCAACATCTGTCTATATCTCTGAGATGAGGTATTATGATTACATTTTTTTTACATTATTCGAACTGTTATCCTCATCTTCATTGTCATATTCACAACGTTCCGGCATCTATATCTCTGAGATGAGGTATTATGATTCCTTTCATTATTTACATTATTGGAACTGTTATCCTCATCTTCATTGCAATAGTCACAACGTTTCGGTCGTTGCACGCTCCGGCTTTCTTCATAAATTCTAAAACGTTAATAAAAAATTTGATAAATACCACTTATATTATTCAACGAAACATGATTGTAAGAATTATGATCCAGTGGATAAAGGCGTTGGTTAGATCCAGTGACTAGACCCAAATAGATGTGAGTTCAATACCAGGCCACAGCAGTTTTGAACCAAAAAAAAAAACAAAAAAAAACTTGGAGAGTTGACTTAACGGGAAATAAGTGAGACATTCGGAAGATGCATGGCAAGTGGAACTAGAACAATTCTACAATTTATATATATATATATATATATATATATATATAAATATAAATATAGATAACTAGACTCGTTTCGTGTCTGGCTCACTAGGTGTATCTATATATATATCTATATATATATATATATATATAGGGATCCAAAGCACATGTACTGAAGTAGTTTATTCACTTTCATTGATGCTGTCACACATCGAGTAGGTCTGTATGAACAGAATCTTTTTCATGGTACAAAATGATGTGGCGCCATGTCCTGTGATATTTTACGGAGCTGTGCTTTGTAGATTATTGCAAAGGCTCTCCGAACGGCGTCCTTCAACTGATGGGTATTCTAGTATCGTTCATGTGACACTCTCTCCTTGCTTTTGCCAGAATGCACACGGCCATATGTCCATACACTTGCAAGCAGCCTCTCTAGAAGCCGTAGGTGCTCGTGTCAGCCGTCTGAAAAAGAAAATTATATTATGTAGGAGGTGGCAAGTGTTTTAGACCACCTTGTACATTAACGTTAATTAGAATTATAAAAAAAAATCATCATGCAATGGTTAAATCAATATTAATGCTGAAGTACCAATTTATACAGGGTGGACCAAAAGTTTTGTCACCCTCTACCATAAAGTAATGAGAGCAATAGAAGAACAAGTAATACAGTAAAAAAAAAAACATATATACTGGATTCAGTTTATTCGTTTTTTCTTGACGCATCGAGAAGGTCTGTATGAACATCATTTTAGTGGCACAAAATAATGCGACACCCTGTCCTGTGTGGTATTTTACGAAGTTGTTCTTTATTGATTGTTGCAAAGGCTCTCCGAATGCCGTCCTTCAACTGATGGGTATTTTGGTATCGTTCATGTGAAACTCTCTCCTTGAAGATACCCAACAGAGCGTTGAAATAGAAAATTATATAGGGGTAGCAAGACTTTCGGATCACCGTGTATATAATGTCCAAAACTTCGAGAGTTGACTTAACGGGAACAATTAAGACATTCGGAAGAGGCATGGCAAGTGGTACTAGAACAATTCTACAATATATATATATGTCTGTGTGTGTGTGTATGTGTGTGTGTGTGTGTGTGTGTGTAGTGATGCACAGCACATGTACTGAATTCGTTTATTCACTTTCATTGATACTGTCACACATCGAGTAGGTCTGTATGAACAGAATCTTTTTCATGGTACAAAATGATGCGACACCCTGTCCTGTGTGGTATTTTACGAAGTTGTTCTTTATTGATTGTTGCAAAGGCTCTCCGAATGCCATCCTTCAACTGATGGGTATTCTGGTATCGTTCATGTGAAACTCTCTCCTTGAAGATACCCAACAGAGCGTTGAAATAGAAAATTATATAGGGGTAGCAAGACTTTCGGATCACCGTGTATATATTGTCCAAAACTTCGAGAGTTGACTTAACGGGAACAATTAAGACATTCGGAAGAGGCATGGCAAACTAGAACAATTCTACAATATATATATGTCTGTGTGTGTGTGTATGTGTGTGTGTGTGTGTGTACAGTGATGACAGCAGCACATGTACTGAATTGTTTATTCACTTTCATTGATACTGTCACACATCGAGTAGGTCTGTATGAACAGAATCTTTTTCATGGTACAAAATGATGCGACACCCTGTCCTCTGTGGTGTTTTACGAAGTTGTTCTTTATTGATTGTTGCAAAGGCTCTCCGAATGCCATCCTTCAACTGATGGGTATTCTGGTATCGTTCATATGAAACTCTCTCCTTGAAGATACCCAACAGAGCGTTGAAAGAGAAAATTATATAGGGGTAGCAAGACTTTCGGATCACCGTGTATATATTGTCCAAAACTTGGTGAATTTATGGCCCAAGGCTAAGTATTAGAGATGGAATGTTTGTAATAACACGTGCCTTGATAATTGTTTGAGGCAGGAAATTGACAGTCACTATGCATTGTAGATTCTTATGTCCACATTTTCTGTCTATCTCTGTAATCCTTTCAGAGATGTTCTAGGTGATTCTCAAGTATTTCACGATGTAAACTCTCAAATCCTACCGAGAAAGTAGATTGTATGTTTACCATTATTAAGTAAGATCTGAATGTTATTTCGTTTAATGGAACATCCAGATGAAAAAATACTGAAAAAAAAATCTGGATAAGCCATTTACAAACTCGGTTCGTAGACGAGAGGATTTCTGGAAAGATCTTTGCGTATCTCAATTGCTTTTTGCCATTTCACACCAATCCAATGTTGAAAGCGTACTTTTCTTTCTTTTTTCTATTTCTTTACACCCAGACATCTTTTACACACACACGCACGCTCGCACACATACAGAAGTAGGCAGGCACAAGTCGGCAAAAGATTCGTCTTTACACTCGCAAAAACATTCACAAACTTGCATACGTGAGCAAATGCTTATTTAGAAAAGCAAAGAGAGCAAGTCGAAAGAGATAGAGAGAGACACACACAGAGAAAGTGAGAGAAAGAAAGAAAGAAAGAGGAGCGGGGAAGGAGGAGTTTTAGAAAGAAAGAGGAAGTGAAAGAAAGAGATACACACAGAGAAGGATAGCAAGAAAATGAGAGAGATAGAAAGAGGGAGGGAAAGAAGGAATTTTAGAAAGAAAGAGGAAGAGAGAGAGACACACACGCACACAGAAGGATAGCAAGAAAATAGAGATAGAAAGAGGGAGAGGAAGAAGGAGTTTTAGAAAGAAAGAGAAAGTGAGAGAGAGACACATACACAGAGAAGGATAGCAAGAACATGAGAGAGATAGAAAGAGGGAGGGGAAGAAGGAGTGTTAGAAAGAGGAAGTGATAGAGAGAGAGACACACACACGCACACTCACAGAGAAGGATAGAGAGAAAATAAGAGAGATAAAAAGAGCGAAAAACAGAGGGAACAATACAGAGAGAATGTGTGTGTGTGTGTGTGTGTGTGTGAGAGAGAGAGAGAGAGAGAGAGAGATTGAGGGATTTTTTTTACAATAATATTCACCCTGTATTCGGTCTAAGATCCACTCGAGGTTTAAAGAGTAAGTGGTAAGAAGCGGTGTTTATAGAAAGGAAGAGATAGATAGATAGATAGATAGATAGAGAGAGAGAGAGAGAGAGAGAGAGAGAGAGAGAGAACAATGAAGAGAGAAGGAGAAAGAGAAAGAAAGATTTTTTTACATTAATGTTCACCCTGGACTAGGTCCCAAATTCACTCGAGGTTTACAGAGTAGGAGGTAAGAAGTGGGGTTTATAGAAAGGAAAAGAGATGAATAAAAAGAGAAAGAAAAAGGGAGTGTTACAAAGAGGAAGTGATAGACAGACAGAGAGAGAGAGAGAGAGAGAGAGAGCTAGAATGGGGGATATTAAGAGTGAGAGAGAGAAAAACCGATCCAAAGAGAAAGAGAGAGAAAAAGATATATATATATATATATGAGGCGATAGTAGAAAGTGATAGAAAAAGAGAGATATGCAAAGAGAGAAAGAGAGAGAGTGCGAAGCAGATGTTTCTCTATAGAATTAAGGTGGAAGTAAAGATAGATATATTTCTATTATCTGCTTATATCTTGAATTTAGTGCCATAGTAAATGAGAGTTCAATCCCTGGGCCGGGCAGTGTGTACTTGGACACAGTGAACACAAGGCGAACAAGAACTGAGCAGTACTAAAACTAGATATCCCTAGATATGGGCAGTGGACCGAGAACAGTCGACCCCGTAGATTAAATAAAGTGTTCAGTTCGGAATTCCTTGCGGGTTACCGGTATCGATATACGCCTGATGAAGGCCGGCGGCTACAACGGCCGAAACGACATTATTCCGAATGTAAATAGTGTAAATAATGATAACTCCTCATACCAGAAAGTCAGACACATTCTTCAGTAATCAAGAGTTGCTCCAAAATCGAGGTAGTTGTAAGCACGAGATGGGGAATTTAAATATAAACAACTGGAAACAAATTGCTATATTCACAACGTTTCGGCCGTTGTACGCACGGGCCTTCTTCAGGTGATTGGAATTTCGAACCCTTTATTTAGTCCATCGAGGTAGGTAAAGTTGAGTTAAAGGGAAATGACTGAGACATCTGAAAGAGGCATAGCACGTGGAACTAGAACAATCTAGTCTGGTGGGCGAAATAAAGAGTTCGGTTCGAAACTCAAATCACCTGAAAAAATGCCGGAGAGTACAACGGCCGAAACGTGAATATGGCAATGAAGATGAGGATGACGGTCCGTGTAATGTAAATAATGCAAGTAATCATAATACCTCATCTCAGAGATATAGGCAGATATTTCAGTTTGTTCATATCTATCTATCTATCTATCTATCTATCTATCTATCTATCTTTGACAACTTTTTCATTTCTATCTATTTATTCCAGTTTGTTCTCATATATCCCTGTTTTCATTATTTCTCTCTATTTCCATATAAAAGTCAACACTTAGAGACGACAGCAATCGTCAGGCCACATATTCATATATTCACACGCTCTATCTCTGATATTCAGCACTTTATCCCATAAATATAGCACATCTTAAGACTATATTTCTTCATATATATATATATATATATATATATATATATATATATTTCAGTCTAACCAACGTTTTTTATCCACTGGGTCATGTGTCATCTGAAGAAAGCCGTAGAGTACAACAGCCGAAACTTGTGAATATAACAATAAAAATGAGGATAACAGTACGAATAATGTAAATAATGTAATTATACTTTAGAGATATAGACAGAAATGAAAAATGAATTGTCTGCCGGAAATTAATGGTGTGAGTAAATTAACAGTCTGTTCTTTTGTTTCGTGCTGTAACTATTTTTGTTATCTTTTTTTTTTTGGCAACATTTCAAAGCGCAAACATTTCCTGCGATATTTTTCCACACTGTATATTCTTCAAGATGCCCCCTTTTTTTTTTTGCTTCCTCGCAGTTTTCAATTTATTCAAAATTGAGACTTAGTGAAAGTGAAGGTAAAGATTTTACATTGTTGTGTAGGAAATATTTGTCTATTTTGTTGCAGAGAAACATCTGCAGCGCATGAGAATTTCTCTTTAAGGTTTTGAAGCCCCAACGATTTGTAACAGAGAGGGTCTGGGGAAACACACACACACACACACACACAAACACACACACACACACACACACACACACACACACACACGCGTATATTTTTTTTTTTAGTGAAATTGGAGTGGATTTGAACAGCGAAATTAGATCAGAGCATTTTTGTTTACTGATGGTAAAACCTGATCTAGGGCAGAAGTTGTACCCATTGAATCTGCGTCATCAGGAGACAATGGAAATAGACGAAATAATCTTTATTGATTAAAACTTGGAATAGAGCTGAGTAAGCAAGAAGGACCTTTAGAATTCACATGATTTTGGTTGAAACAGCCATAACCCCGTGATAATCGCGTGTGAAGTAGTAGGGCCAAGGTTCGGTTATCATCAGCCGGGTTTTTCTATGCGTAGTTATGCTGAAAAAGAGGCAGACGGAAGAGAAAGACGGTAGAGGTAGACGCAAGAGTTGGGCTAGAGACAGTGGAGAATCGAGTTGGGGACTCAAGAAGAAGAGAAAGTGACGTCACAGATTGGAACGAAGCATCCGCTAACATGTACTGTTGATATAAGTACTGCTGCTTCTGCTACCACGAATATTACTACTACTGTTACTACTGCTAAGGAGGAACGCCACTATAAACTTTAAGCCGCGAACAGAAATCTTATTCCCCCATCGCAAGAGTCGTATATCGTTCTGAGACGATTTAACAAGAAGTTATTCATAGCACACACACTCTCTCTCTGTCCAGAATCCAGTGTATGCGTTTTTACGTCAATTATTTTTCTTTTCTGTAACCTGTTTCTTTTCTGTACTATTCTTTCCTGCTATATAAAAGACATTAACAATTCAACCATTGAATAGTGGTTTGTCCGGCTTTCTGCAGATATTAATTTTTTTTTTTTTGCTGCATTCTAAATTTCTTGGCGCGGACTCTCCAGCCGTGTCTACATCTTCAGTCGACCGTGAATGGATGAACATCACTTCTGCTTTCTGGATTAAACCAAACACAACGTGGGCAGGAAGCAGGATTAAACCAGTGAACCGGTTGAATAATCTACGGATGCTCAGGGGACCTACGACCACTCCATTAAGTTCGATTAGGACCGAGTAGATACCTCAACCCAGAGAGTTGAGGGGCTGGGGCGAAAGTGTTAGAGATTTTGTAGGTTATTTAATGCTGAAATCTAAATAGTTTATGCGTAACTTTCAACAACAGATACCTTGTACATAATTTTATGCTTTCAGAGTAAAAGGTATTTTTTTTTTTTTTTAGATGTACACCCTTGTGCAAATTAATTGAAACAACCGCTTTAGTTTCCTTTCTTTCACCATACGGTCAGTTTTAGCCCCACTGGGGTGACAGGATGTAATCGATGTCTATTTTTTTCTCAGATTAGGTCATTTGCAGTGGTGTGCAGTAATCTATTTTCGGGGTGTCTGATGAAATTTGTTTGGCCTTGAAAAATATTGCGTCATCCGTGATTACAACAGATTTTTATCACGCCCAGACACTATTGTCTCAACTGTCGATTAGTTGTCCTACGGCCATTGTCTGCGATGGACGTTACTCCAAGGAAGCGTACGAAAATTGTAACACTGCACGAGCACACTGAAAAGCCTTACCAGTGAGAAAATCTAAGTACTATAGATTAGCACGGAAACTCTCCTGAGTTAAATCCAATCGTGAATCTGTAAGGAACGATTTCGGGGAATGGATCTACGAAGTACTAACATGTGCACAGGGTCATGTTTCATTGGAAAAATAAGAAAAAAATGTAAATAATATCGGAATTATTCCTTTTGTTTAAATTAATTTGCACAAGGGTGTAAGTTTATAGATCATAAAATAAGTTGTTGGTAATTTTACTATAAAAATGTATTTTTATATTTTTTTAGTGTTGCATTGATTGTCATTTTGCTAGAAAATGTATTGTTGCTGATTTTATTATAAAAAAAAAGTACTGTTGTTTGTCTTGTATGGGGGTTCATTATTTGCCGATAGCTGGGAGCCTAACAGGTGCTGCCACCCCGGGTCAGGGTGGACCTGTGAACAACAACATTTAAGAGGTGGTTCCACGTTCTACAAAAGCTCCACTCCACCGATCAGGGGCCTTGCTGCCGGATATAGTTTATCGTCATACCCAGGACGACCAATGAGTTTTTAACGCGTACCTGGAGTGGAATGAATAAAGAAATATGAACATAAGAAGCAACACTATCTGTTTGATGTCAGTTTCCAGCCTCAGTCTATCTTCAGGTTATGTGACACTATTTCTTTAGCAAGGCCTATATATAAGTCACTGGTGGATTGAGAAAAAAGAGCAAATGAGGCCAATCCCAATTCTTTGAGACTGCATTTCATGCACGTAGCAATTATCATATGCAAATTGAAAATGACCGTTATAATATATATATATATATATATATATATATATATATATATATATATTATAATATAATATATATATATATATATATATATATATATATATATAGAGAGAGAGAGAGAGAGAGAGAGAGAGAGAGAGAGACCAAAAGTCTGTGATTCATGGTTGTGTGGTGCGTTGTCTGTCCGGCACATAGTGATTTAAGTTTCTTTCCACTTCTCTCTCTCTCTCCTCTCTCTCTCTTTCCGCTCTCTCTCTCTTTCCACCTATGGCTTTCCACCTATGGCTTTCCACCTATGGCTTTCCACTTCTGTCTCTTTCTCCTTCTCTCTCTTTCCACCCCTCTCTCTTTCCACGTCTCTCTTTCGACCCTTCTCTCTTTCCACCCATCTCTCTTTCCACGTGTCTCTTTCGACCACTCTCTCTTTCCACCCATCTCTTTCCACCTGTATGTTTCCATCCATTTATCTTCCCATCTCTGTCTCTCTTTCCACCTCTCTCTTTCTACTCCTCTTTCTTTTCACCTCTCTCTTTCCACCTCTCTGTGATTGCGTGAGTGCTTGCGTGGTGCGTCCGTCTATCCGTCTGGCCAGCCGGATGGCGCCTAATGATTTAAGTTAATCTGATTTAAGTGAATAAAATTTAAACTTTCTTCAAACAGACAATTTTTTCATTCAAATATTTTTAATTTAAAGAGAGAAACAATTATTTTTGACATATTAAAAAAATATTTTTAAGTTAATCTGAGTTAAAAAAAAATAGTTTTAGTGAATAAGATTTAAAGATACATGTTGTTTATACAGTATTTTTATTTCAACTTTCTTCAAACAATTTTTTTAATGTTGAAATCAACTTTAGTATTTTATAATCTAAACCGTTATTGATCCAATGGATCATGTGTGGCTATATATATATATATATATATATATATATATATATATATATATATGGTTGACTGATGAGTTTGTGACGACCTGGGGCTTCACGCTTTTGTGATGCTCAGACAAACTGATTTTTAACAAATTTTTGATTTATGTAGATTGCATGCATTGGTGTTATTATGGAAGTGGTGGGGGATCGTCGTCGTGATGTCACCCATGGTAATGCAAACATAGATGCATGTCTGCACACCCGTTGAGTTACGTTACACATACATGACACATATGTGTGTGTGTTATATATATAGCGATATATATATATATATGCTTATGATATATATATATATATATATATATATATATATATATATATATATATATATATATATATATATATATATATATATATATATATATATATATATATATATATATATATATATATATATATATATATATATATATATATATATATATATATATATATATATATATATATGTGTGTAGGCACTCTGAAGTGGTGTAATGGTTAGCAATCTTGTCTGCCAGAAACAATTACGACTTGAGAAGTGAGTTCAACTTACTGGGTGCCCTTACTATCGGCCTTGAGCCACATCCAATCTAATACGCTTAGAAAATCGCGATGTGTGTGTGTGTGCACGCGCGCTCGTGTGTATAAAGAATCTGCATAGTTACCGGTCCTGCTCTGGCATCTTGGTTTCAGTCCCTTTCCCACCAGCGTAACAAACCTCTCCTGTCCCTTTTACTTGCATTTTTTTATGAACGTTTCTTTTAGCATCTCGAATTCACGAATTTAAGCGCAATAATAGATTGGTAGCTCGGTCTTATAAATTCGTTCTTGAACTGAGACTCTGTGAAGGTGAAAGTAAAAATTTTATATTCTTTTCCATTGGACGCCAACGCAAAATCTGGTTGGACAATGTCAAACAATGGACAAGTACGACTATATCAGAATTGCTGATGTCTGCCGTTGATAGCCCGTTGTGGGGGAGATTCAGTGTGGCTTCTGCATTCGGATCCCACCTACGATTATAAAAGTCAAATGAATGAAGAGAATGATGATGATGAATTTTGAAAAGTTGATTTAGAGACATTAAATTGTTTATCTTATGAGCAGCCCGATTTGTAGTCCCGAATAATCTTTGTTCTAGTGGCTAAGTTATTCTGACGTCATTAGGAGTATCCAAAGTGTACGACCAAGATACCTATTTTCACCGGATTTATTTTTACCAACACTGAGAGAACTACAAGATCTATCAGTATTTATTATTGCTGGACACAATCTTAAGAACATAAGAGACGCAGATTACTGGAAAACACCTAGAGAAAATGGCAGGAACTTCTAGACAAGGTAGTAAATGAAAGGACTAATGTACCAGAGAGAGGTATACACATATACACTCACATGAATGCACACACGCAAATATAACTTTTATTGACTGGAAGTGGAAATCGTGTTTATATATCAAAGTACAATTTGGGTTAAGATGTGTGTTTACCGATGAGAAATCTGGGTCATTTGATCTAAATAAGATTTATCGGTTAAAAATGGAAATAGAGCTTACTCAGGCTACGAGATATTTGGTTTTGTTTAACAGTAATTGTTTTGATTAAAAGGTTGAATTAATGTTTAGATATCCCAGAGTATAATTTTGGGGAAGCGAGAAGAACTCGTGATGGAGACAAGATAAATAGTTGGAGAATCCGTTTACATGTCAAGGGATAGTTTTTGGTACTCATGATAATCGCGTGCCGGGCCAAGGGTCGATTCATGATCAAACAGATTTATCTTTATAAACCAGCGTAGCTATTCTGAAGAGAAGGCAGACGATCGAGCGAGACGGAAGAGGCCAGACGGGAGAGAGAGAGACGGGAGAGACCGTAATCGGTTACGGGTTGCGGCCCTACAAGGCAGCCGAGAAAGGAAGCTGGGCAAAGCAGTCGAGAGAGAATTGAGAGGCAGACGGTCGAGTGAGACGGAAGTGGCCAGACGGAAGAGAGACTTGCGGGAGAATTAGAGAAGGAAGACTGCCCCCTGTTCTGAAAGTCTGTAATTGTACTGGACTAATAGCTATAAAACCTACCCCAGGCGAATCAATATGCGTTTATCACACACAAACCCTCTCTCTGTTGGGAATTCGCTGGATGCATTTTGTCTTTTCTTTTCCTTTCTCATTTATGTTAAATGTTTTATTTTCCCCGGTAACTCTGTTCTGATGTTATCTTCTTATATAAAAGACATCAATATTTTCCCCATTGTTGTCTGGCTTCTGCAGATATTATTTCTTGTTTTATTTTGCCACATTCTAAACTTCCTAGCGCCAACTCTCACAGCCGGGTCCACATCCCCAGTCGACCGTGAACGTATGGACAACACCCCGCTTACTGGATATAAAAACTAACACAGCGTGGGCAGCAAGCAGGACTTGACCAGTTGACCGGTCGAAATAATCTACGGGGACTCAGGGAGCGTACGGCCAGTTACCCCTAAGTTCAGTTCAGACCGAGTGGACACCTCAACCCAAAGAGGATGACGCCGGAAGTTGAGGGGCTGGGGACGAAGTGGTAGACTGACCTTCAATTCTCAGAAGTGCTAGACACGAATTGGAGATGTTCGAATGAACAAAAACTTAAATGTCTGGGTAGTTTTTGAAGACAGGATGAAAATGTGGCACTGAAATCCGAAAGTACATTAGATCAAAGAAAGATGCCTTTCAAAATCTTAGCATGTATTAAGAAAAAGGAAAATTTCGTTAGGAGTTCTTAAGTGAGTAGTAATATCAATCCTTTTATATGGTAATGAATGTTGTACAATTTCCTCACAGATGAAGAAGAGACTTGGGGCAGCATAAGCGCAGCTCTACAGAAGGATGCTGAGAATATCAATGAACGAAACATGTGAACAACGATAAAGCTTTAAAGAAAATTAAAAGAAAAAGTGACTTTACTTAGAATAAGAAAGAAACAGTTGACATTTCTGGAACATATAATAAGGAAAGAAAGCTTGGAGAAATTAACACTCGTATGACAGTGAAGGTTAAAAAATCCGAGGAAAACATTATATTATAACAGGAACTAAGATGAAAGCAAGGTGATAAATACTGCTTAGAACTACAAAGGAAGTTGAGGAGAGTTATGATCTTGTAAGGAAATTGCTTATAAAAGAGGAAGTGCTATTGCTAACATTTTTTCGAAGGAAAAACTACCAAAAATTCTACACGTTCTTTCATGAATAACTATAGCTTGGTTGAAAGTTTCAGGAATGTAAATTCAAATATTAATGTTAATAATATGAATTATTTATTAATTATTAATTATTGACATCTTAATATTCTTCATTTTTACTGTTTATTATAATTTTACTTTTTGTAATTTCTGGTTTCATTAAAATAGCACTTTTTAAAATTTCTTGTTAGTGGTTAATTTTATATTGTGGAAATCTTCTTGTGTCAACATTCGGTTAAACACTTCTAAATGTTGCCGCTTAAAAGGAAGACACTATTTAAAATGTTATTCTTCTAAAACAAATAATTTCAGTTAGCAGTTTATATTCTGTTTTGCACATTTCGCACTAATGCCCTTGGAAAACGCATGAATCTATTTTTCTCCGTATTTGGTTTAGATACAGTTTATGAGAAGGAAGACGTTGAATTCAAACCATGTCTTTCTAAGAATCTTCAAGTATTGTCTTTAGGCTTTGACATTACTCTGGAAAGGTTAAACTTCGTAAAAAATACAACTTGAGGTGGATAGCTCTGAAAATTTGTGTCACCTTTTACATCATTTTTCTGTTATCATTTCTTCCCCAAAATGTGTCTCTATCTATACAAAAACTTATAGAGCTAGAATCAAATCATATATATATATATATATATATATATATATATATATATATATATATATATATATATATATATATATTGCACATTAATTGCTGATGCTAATAAAATAGATTTCGATATATATATATATATATATATATATATATATATATATATATGGTATAAAAATAACAATTTGGAAAAAATTTAGCTTTTGCCGACGCCTTTCGGTTTCTGAAATAAAATTTAAAGAGAGACACTCCTGCATAAGCCTCTGTTTTCAGGAGCATCTCCTTTTTTAAATTTTGGAATTAATGTAACTATGATAACATTTCGCTTTCATTGTTTTCCTTGATAACATCGGAAAACGAAACGCATCGTCAAAAAGCTAAGCTTTTTTTACTTTTGTCATTCTTATAACAATTTATCTTATCCAAAGAGTTATTCTGGGAACTTTTACTACATACATGTGTGTGTGTGTCTTTAGGCAGCAATCCTTCTTTCATGCACATTTCACTGAATACGACGGACATGGTGCTTTTATTTAGTTTTTTATACAATTTTTCATGCGATCTAATATTTTTTTTTTTTTCGGATGATAAATTATATCATTCTTAGCCTTATATCATTCTTAGCCTTTCTTTGCCTTTCTTTGCATGTAGATGATGCTATTATATTAGTGTTGTCAACAAGCATGTTACGAATCGTGTCCTGTAGTTCTCCATGAAAAATAATGGAAGCCTTATTAATAATAATAATAATAATAATAATAATAATAATAATAATAATAACCCATCAGTGGCTACGTAGTGCAGGGTTGAAAGCGGA